CTGCCACAGGCGTACGCAGCTGCGCAGCCCTCCTGTTTGTTATGGCGCCGTGTTGTGCCGGTTGCCTTGAAGCGCCTCTGCCCCTCCTCTCATAGACGTCCTTCACGTCGCCCGTGCTGATGGCCAGCCTGCTCGTGGATGATCTTGGATGGGAGCAGCATGGTGGGTTGGCGCAGCCAGGGCGTGCGCGTAGCTGCGCTCCCTCCGTGTGGCAAGTAGCATGGAGATGTTGCGCGAAAGCGCATGTTGCAAGCGTATGTTTCAATTGTTTTAGAGGTATGTTGGAAGTGTTTCGCATGGATGTTGCAAAAGTAGATCAAGATGTTGCATATATTGCAATGGCTATACACCCATATTGCAAGCATTTGTTCCAAAAATTTCATCTGTTTCTCAGACGTATGTTGCAAGAATTTTTATCTAGATGTTGCATATATTTCACGCATATGTTGCAAGTGTTTTTATCTAGATGTTACATGTGCTTACAATGGCTTTCGATTGTTTTCAGGCGTTTTGTATGTGTTTTAGATATATGTTGCAAGTGTTGTTTTATACGTATGTTGCAAGTGTTTCATCTGAATGTTGCAAAAGTAGATCTAGTGTTGCATATGTTGTAATGGGACCCACCTACCGCTGCTGCCTGCTGCATGGAGCGCCGTGCATTCGGTTCCCATGTGAAGTAGGCGCAAGCGGTCCCCCGCGTGCCTGATACATAGCAAGGGTGCAGGCGGTCCCCACAAGTGCGTGGGAAGTGGAGCCGAAGCGGACGGTTCTTGTGTTCGATCAGGCGACGTGGGTCTGGTGCGGGAAACGAAAGGAGGCGTAGGAAACGGAGAGACGTGCGACGCAAGCAGCCGTGGGTGTCCGGACGCGTGTGTCCATCCAGATGTTCGGACGCTAGCATCTCCTCGTTAGCAACTCACTAGATGATGGATAACAATTACTCCAAAACCACACTCTATCAAGCAATGATACTGATAAATCCAATACAACAAGAACTAGAATATAAAAAAGATGAAACATGGTAAGGGATATTCGAAACAGAGAATCACAACCAGGGTCTAGAGAAGATCTAGCACTATGGGATTCGGGTACGGTATATAGAGGGAGGCCGGAGGAGGAAGAAGCACGATAGGTAGGACCGTAGGACATAGATGCGTTCTTCTCTGAACAATTCATCCATGCCTTCTTTTATGTGCCTTCTCCCTTTCGTAATTCCTGTCAAGACAAGACCAAACATGCATCGGCCCATACCTCACGTGACGGCCCACTCGTACAGGTTCCTTAAGATTTTCCGCTAGCTCCACCAATAGCTTCACAAGTCTTCAACTAAACGCACCGTGGGAAAATAGCTCCTGGCGTGGAGCTCCTTGAATAGCACTGACTGGAGTGGAATGGAGGTGAGGGAGCCAGAAAAACAAGCTTCACCTGTTTCAAAATTCCCCTCTGCATGCGTGGGCGGGCAGCGGCCTATGACCAAGCTAGGGGACGATAATGGTCGGTGGAGAGATGCGGGCGTGCGGGGCAGAGACCTAGGTGGGCGGTGGCAAAGGCAATGACTTCGGCGAGCAACGGCTGAGGAGGGGCGTGACGACGGGACGCAGATGGGAGCACGGTGGACGGCAAGGTGCCGACGGCGAGGGTGTGTGGATGAGAAAGATGAGGTGGGTCTGACCTTGGGAGAGAGATGGGAAAGAGAGAGAGGAAGAGATGCAAGACATATATAAATATCTAAACCATTAGTGTTAGAGCCCGTTTGGCACGGCTCTAGGCAGCTCCGGCTCCCGCCTGCAATTTCACTGTTCATTCACTGTAGCTAGAGCCAGTTTTCTCTCTCCTTCCCTCTCCCTCTCACAGACAATCATAGCCAGCGGCTTCACCGGTGAAGCTCAAAATTTTGGCTCCGCCGGCTCCATGAACAGTACCATAGCTATAGTGAGAGAAGGCAGCAGGAGAGAGAAAAATCGGCTCCGTGCTACAGTGATCTGTCGTCGGAGCTGGAGCTGCTCGGAGACGTGCCAAACGGGGCCTTAAGGACCCGACACACCCCGACCCTGAAGGACCCGACACCGCCGCCGCCGGCGGCGCCGGCCGCCACCCCAGCGCCAGCGTACCCCTGCCCCCTCCTCCCCTTCCCTCTCCACCTCTCCTCCCATCCCCTCCCCAGACGCCAACCCGTGCCGTGACCCGCTTGCGCCACCGCCGCCGACGGGCACTGGCGTCGCAGCCGCCACCAAAGGCACCCCCGCCGGATTCGGCACAGGGGTGCCTCCACGGGCTCCCTCACTGCCAGCGCAGCAGTCGATGCCGGGAGACGCCACGGTGGCCGTCTCTGAGGCCACCCCCACCGGATTTGGTGCTGGGGTTTCTCCGCGGGCCCTTTGGCCACCAGCACCGCCGCCGCTACCAGGGGTCGCCACCGAGCCCGCCCCCGCCAGATCCAGCGCTAGGTCTCCTCCGTGGGCTCCCTCGATGCCCGTGCCAGCACCGATTCCGGGCGCAGCCGCCCTGGCCGCCACCAAGCCCGGGAAGGCGCCCCTGGAGGCCTTCTCGTTGCCTGGCTCAGCGGATGTCCCTGTGATGGTGGCCTCCCCCGCCTCCAGCGTCAGGGATCGACATCTTCCTCGTGCGCCCTTCCACCCCAGTTTGTCGTCGTCTTCGCTCTCCCCCCAAGCCACCCCCTTCGACCCGGGGGGGACTCGATGGGGTGCTCCAAGGCTCGTCAGTGGGCAGAGGAGGACCTTGAAGCCTTTGATGTGGAGTCAGAGTTGTCGCCGTTGCCAACCATGCCCCCAACCTCGTACCTCGACGCAGTTGTGCAGGGCCGCAGCTACTGGCGTCGCCATTGCTGGTACATACCCAAACGCGCGCCACCATCGCCAAGGGCATGCGTGATGGTGCCGTCGATGGATCACGAGCCAGGGGGTCGGGGAATGCGCCCCAACCATCGGTGGGCACGCCCGCAGCTCATTGATGGGCTTCCTGTCCAAGGTCAAGACGACGGCAACGGGACTGGTCACGGTTCTTGCGACCATCGCAGCGCGTTAGCGGTCCATTGGAGCCGGACCATAGCTTTGCTCCCCGTCGGCGTCGTTTCTCTGCTCTCTGACGCGGCGGCGGGGCGTGAGGTCCTTTCACGAGGGCCGTCTGGTGGCAGAGAGGAGGCTTCACCACCACCGCGTCCAATGCCACGTTTCCCACCAGAGCTGCATGGGAAATACCTCAACTGCCTCTCCACCTCACACAGGGTGGCAACCTACAGGCTAGCCCAGCGCTGCCTATGTTGCAGGGGCTTCCACCACCGCACGCGTGATTGCAAGCGGCCGCGGAGGCCGAGTTTGGCGAGGAACGACGTACCAGGCGACTTGGACGCACCCCGTTGGCGTCCCTGTCACAGTGACCAGCCACACACTTTGGCCAATAAGCTGGGCTTGGGCATGGGCGGAGGTGAGCCGGGCTTGGGCGAAGTCATGCCGGGCAGCGCTAGGCGCCGCGGCAAAGGACACCGACACCGACGTCGACGTCGCCACAGACGTCAGGTGCGGCCAAGGGATGGCGGCAACGCCACGACGTCAGACACCACTACCGCCGCCGACAGTTTAGCCCGAGAAGGTCACCGTGAGCCCACCAGTGAGGTATGGGACCTTGCCGAGCTCGATCCGTTGCTCACACACTACTCCAATCCATGCACACCGCACGTGAGGTCTCGGAGGATCTGATGACGGAGGAGATTGCAGCTTCGCTCGCGGTCTGTTGGAAGATGGCCGGTGACCGCCTCAGTATCCTTGCTCAGTTGGCAATGCCACTGCCACCTGAGCACGATCAGGCTTAGGTCACGCCACCTCGGGCGATGCAGACCACCACCTCAGGAGTTGTCGTGCCTATGGAGGACAACTCTCTGCTTCGGTCTGGCCAAGCCCACGGCGGATGCAGACATGTTCAGTACGCCGCCTCGGGAGGACAACATGGTCGACGTCAGCGACAGCTTTGCCGCAAGCCGCCTCAAGAGCTTCACCAGGCGCGTGTTGAAGAAGGTCAACTCTCTACTTATTCGTGAGCCTCCCAAGCAGCCTCCTGCTAAGCCGGTGCTGTCGTGGCGGAGCAGGCGGTTGGCGCCTCAGAGCCTCTCTCGAGTACCTGCTTCCAAGCGAGGTGAGGTGCTGATCATGCAACATATGGGATACACAAAGGGCCCATCAACGCCATCCGCATCGGAGGTGGAGGTCTTCGACAAGATCTTCGACGGCAACCTGACTGCGTCCAATGCCGAAACGCTGGAAGCGCTCTTCCCGAACGGTGGAAAGGGTTCGTCCAGGCAGCCGACGAAGGCGCAAGGCCACTTCTTAGGTCGCACTGCTGCGTCGGTTTTGGATGTTTTTCTATTTATGTAATATCGAAATTAGAGGTCTTTTGCTAGGATGATCCAGCTACGGTTGTTTTATGTCGATCTCCTTCGGCACTCGATAGAGACGCGTTGTCTGTATGTATGTTTAAACTCTTATTCTTAATACAATAATACGCAAATCTTTTGTGTATTCAAGAAATAAAAGAAAGAGATAAACGTGAGAAGAAAAAATTTAAAATTTTCAAAGGAGAAATAAAGAAAGAAAGAAAAAGAAAAAGAAAAAAAAGGACATTATGGACATTCCATGCATTTTATCTCATAAAGAAATTGTTTATCGAATATTTTTCTAACTAGTGAAGCTAGAGTAAAATAAGTTTTATTAAGGAACCACAACTGGAGCTGTTTTGTGACGAGCTAGAGCTCTACCAAACGAGTCCTTAATTAGTATGGCCAAATATATTTCAAATTTGGGAGAGATGAGCAGTTGGCACTTTGTGAAACGAAGTAGCTTGAACAATGCAAATGAGCTTTTCCTTTCGTTTTCTTTTTTTACTCTTACTAGTACCAAGAGTACCAACTAATGAGCAGGACTCTCAAATTTCGGAAACTTGAACACTAGGCAACCAGAACGAAAATCAGGGCCGGAAAACCCTGTCCTCTAGCTGAAACAGCGCTGCGTGGCGACGGCGCAGAGTGGAGCCTTTTTCCGCGCCGTGCACCCGGTCGTCTCCTCCATGTCCAGCTCTACCTCGCCCTCCGGCACGGCCCAGTCGAACCGAGCGACGAGGTTGGCGAGCGCGAGCTCCACCACGGACATGGCGAGGTTGACGCCCGGGCACATCCGCCGCCCCGCGCCGAACGGTATCAGCTGGAAGTGCTGGCCCCGGAAGTCCACCCCGCTGCCGACGAACCTCTCCGGCCGGAATTCCTCCGGCGACTCCCATGCCTCCGGGTCCCTTCCGATGGCCCAGGCGTTCACGATCACCATGGTGTCGCTGGGGACGTCGTACCCGTGGCTGCTGATTCGAGTGGCCTGCATGGACTTGTGCGGAAGCAGCAGGGGCCCCGGCGTGTGCAGCCGCATCGTCTCCTTGATCACTGCTCTCAGGTACTCCATTCCGGCCAGATCTTGTTCGCCAACAATGTTGCCATGGTCGTTACTGCTGGTGCTCCGAGCTTGTCTCACCTCGCGCTGCAGCTTCTGCATGACTCCCTTGTTGCGGAGCAGCTCTGCCATGGCCCATTCCAGGACGATGATGGTGGCCTCTGTCCCGGCTCCGAACAAGTCCTGCATTAAGCAGAGCAGCACATGAATCCAATCATGCGTCCGTTGATCGGCCTACGTGACGTCTTTTACCTCTAAGAGAGCCTTCACGTTGTCCCTGCTGAATCGCCACTCTCCTGTCCCAGCAGTTGGAGTTGGTTCCTCCTGCTGCAGTGACAGCAGCACATGGATGAAAGCATCGTCGCTCGCTTCTTCTTCCGACAATGGCGTCTCTCTGGTCGCAGCCGCGTCCACGATCTCGTCGAGGATCCGGTCGATCCTCTGGAACGCCATCCTAACCCTGGCGTCCGTGCCGTCGACGTGGCTCACCCAGGAGAGCCACGGGATGTAGTCGCCGATGTGGAAGGCGGCGAGCAGCACGTTGGTCTCCTCCAGCAGCGCGTCCACCTTGGCGCGCCACCCGTTGTCCCCGGCGGCGCGCAGTCCGAGCACGATCCGCCCGGCCACGTCCTTGGCGAAATCGTTCAGGAGCTCGCTCAGGCGCACGCCGCCGCCGCGGCACACCTGCTCTAGAACTCGTTGGACCAGCGCCTCCACCTCCCGCTCCCTCACGGCGCGGTAGGCCCGCACCCTCGGCGGGCTCAGCAGGTGGCGCACGCTCATCTTGCGCGCGCCGCGCCAGTACGCGCCGTGCGGCGCGAAGGCGATGTCGGTGCAGCCGTACAGGAGCATCTGCTGAGCGAGGGGCGGCTGGCGAACACGTGGTCCTGCACCTGCATCACCTCCCGCGCGGCGGACGCCGAGGACACGACGACGGCAGGCACCTGGCCGAGGCGGATGAGCATGACGGGGCCGTGCGCCGCGGCGAGCGAACGCAGCGAGCGGTGCGGGAGGCTGCCGAGCTGGTGGAGGCTGCCGATGAGAGGGAGCCCCCGTGGGGAGGGCGGCAGGCGGTTGGCATTGGCAACCGATTTCTTGCCGCGGTGACCACCAACAAGTAGCGAAACGTATGAGACGATGAAGACAAACACGAGGATGAACCTGGCTTGCGTGCGCGTGTGATATGGGAGCGGCGCCGATGGCGTCATGCTGATTGTGGTTATGTTCTCCATTTGGAAAGTGCATAGAAAAGACACGTTCTACCACTTGCTCTATTTATGCAGTTTGCCAGCCAACCAACTTGGGCGGCTCATTGACATGCCATGTTCAGTGATAAGGATCCTCATTGGCATGTGCATTGACACGTGATATGCATGTGTGGTCGAGCGTCTCCCCCGGCTCCGGCGCGCAGGCGAGCAGGAGGCGCGGGGCACTGTTTGTGATGGATCCACGACGCGTGCGTTGTTTAAGTGGGACCTAAGCCGATCGTGGGCTGTCGTGGTAACGTCAGGCGTACTGATAAGACGAAGCCAAGAGGGACATAGCCATTGCACGTACTGTACTGTGGAGAGGGCAAGCAAGCATGGCACCGGTGTGGAGAAGCCGTGTCCTGTAACCTCCACCTCATGACCGTCTACGCATGACATGAGTTGTCGTCAAATGAATACAAGCCCATACCATTCTCAGTTTGTTGTAGTGTGATCAATAAATACACTATATATGACATGTTCTGATTATCGATAATGCTAGTCTTCGGTGGTCCGTCCGTCCGTTCGGAACCCGCCCGAGTCGCACCTCCCCGTCCGCATATGGCTCGTAGGCTCGAAGCCTCTCGCCCACAAGTTCCTAACCACAGCCGTTGTCTCCGTTCTTCGAAGAAATCACCGCTGCGACTGCCATGGCGTCCTCCTCTTCTCTCCTCTCCTCCCCCCATGGATCCAGCAGCGCCGCGCCCCCGACTGCGCTCCGTAGGGCCGCGAGCTGGCGACCACGCTCCTCCCCGCCTTCCGCCCGTCTTCTCCACATCCCCGCTCCCTCCCTGACCACCGACGGCAGCGTCCTCCTCCCCCACCGTGGCATCCTCCTCCCCCCACACCGGTGGCTCCTTCCCCAACCCCGGCGTCCTCCTCCCCCACCCCGGCGGCTCCTTCCCCACCCCGGCGTCCTCCTCCCCAGCCCTGGCGGCTCCCTTCCCCCGACACCAGCGTCCTCCCCCATAGGGAGCTCCCAACGCCCTCAAATCCGGCGGCCATGGCGCTCCCCTCGCCAGCCTCTCTCTCACCCCCATGTTGTAATTGTATGTTTCAATTGTTTCAGACGCTTCAAAAGTATATTGCAGTTGAATCATATGGATGTTGCAAAAGTAGATAGAGCGATGTTGCACCTGTTGCATATGTTGTTATTGTTTCGTAGGCATGTTGCAAGAGTATGTTTCGAGTATTTCAGATGTTTCAGCGGTATGTTTCATCCGTGTTTTCCGGACGCATGTTGTAATTGTGTTTATCTGAATGTTGCATATGTTCCACACATATTTCCATGTATTTTATTCGGATGTTGCGTATGGTTGCAATTGTTTTCAAGTGTGTTTCAGGTGTGTTTTTCAAGTGTTTCATAAGTACGTTTCGAGTGTTTCAACTGCCTTCAGACGTATGTTGCAACCGTCGTATTTGGATGTTTCAAAAATTAGATCGAGTGTTGCATCTCTCCTCCTACCTTCTGCTGCATCGTCTCTCCCGGAGCCGGTAGGGCATCCGTACTGACGAGGGATAGGTGATGGACGCGGGATGAGGGTGCTGCGTGCATCGCCTTTTTTTTTTTTTCAAGTGTACGTCGCGGTGGGTGCAGGATGCAGGCGCGAGCGGGCCTAGGTCGGACGTCTGGGCACTGGGCTTACTGCTGGATTATATACGCACGCAAGTTCTTGCATCAAATTACATAGATTACAAGATGATGGACTAGTACACACCCATTTGGACTAGTACACGCCCAATCGACTCACGAACAGAATCCTCAAAACTGGAGTTCGTTGCCGGCGTCGCCGTCGCCCTCCTCCTCGGTCGCCGTTTTCCCACGGCTTCCTGCAGGAGCTTGCCTACCGGACTCTCTTAATACTATTTAGATGGAGGAAGTGCTAGCAGCAATTAGCCTACGGTTCACTAAACTAAAACCAGCTCCCGACCCATACTTAAAAGAACCGTGAATTGACTCCATCTGCAGATGGGTTGGGTTGGTTTCATTCAGATTTTAGGCAAATAGGTCCTACTGATGTCATGAACAGATAACAAGCAGTTCTTACATTGCAGCAGCAGGGCGCTGGCTATCTTTTCCACACTTATTGCATTAAATCTTGCTCTGGTAAGACCCCAAAGGAATCATTGACTTCTTGATCTTGACAGCATAGTGGAATTTTGTCACTCACTGACAGCAGAAAAGCACGAAGCAGCTGCAAATCCACTGATACTGTTATGCGACGAATGGGCATGATGTTTCTCTCACGTTTTCCCAACGGTTTGCTTGTTTGAATCTTGTTTTTTTTGCTGTTTTTCTGTATCCATCCTATGAAGATTTTGTAACAGATATATTGCAACTACGTTTCTGAATGTCAACTTTGTTCTTTCCAATATTCTGATCAGATAAAGAGTGGGCTTCTGAAATCTTATCATGCAAGATTAGGTTGCAGCTATGGGACTCTGGAGCAGCCTGCTCATTCAGACCATCACAAACCTTATATTTTCCCAACATGGTGCCATCACCATACAGAGTGTGTTTTAGTTGGCACAACTAAATTCTTGTTGAGACTTCCAAAGGACGACTACAAGTACCATTACTAAGAAGGCACACTACTACACAAAAATTTTTTGCGAGGCGTTTCTAAATTGGTCTCCCAGCCCGACGGACCCTCATTCTCTCTCTCGCGCGCGAAGTCACGTGCGGAGCCCGGTGCCCGACGCCCTCCCCTCCCCTCCCGGCAGTCCCCTCCCTCCCTCTCAGCGCACCCGACTCCTCCCTCTGCGTGCGGCGGTGGCCTCGCACGCGGGCCCGGTGGCGGCGGCGGCGGCGGCAAGAGCTACCCGTGGGCCCAGAGGCGGCGGCGGCGGCCCTCGCGCTCGCGCGCCTGGCGGTGGCAGCGCCCCTCTCCTTGGAGCTCCTACGGCGTGGATCGAGCTCCTTCGGCGTAGATCAACCTTCGCGGCGCGGATCGACCTTCCCCGGCGCGGATCCGGCCTTCCCCGGCGTGGATCGACCTTCCCGGCATAGATCCGGCCTTCCCCGGCGCCAATCCGGCGAGGACCGACCTCCTACGACGTGGATCCGGCGAGGACCGACCTCCTACAGCGCGGATCCCTGCTCCTGCGTGCAGCACAATGGGCTAGGAACGGGCTCGCCGACGGGCTCAAGATTTTTTTTTTTTTTATCGATTAACCGAGCCGGGCGTTGCAAGCAACCCGCCTCGGTTAATCGATTAACCGAGACGGGCAAGGCTATCGCCTCCGTTATTCACGGATTAACCGTGGCCTTTCGACGGAGACGGTTGTCTCTGCCCGCCTTGGTTAAGTTTAGTGTAGTAGTGGCAGATATTCATGATGGGCAGCTGCTGCTGTTTCCTAGCCTATTATGATCTCCCATAGTATCCTCGTAGCTCAGTTCATGCACCGGACAAATCAGCAGGCAGACCAATTTTAGAACCCTTGTACTTTTAATAATCTATTGATGGAAATACAAGGGTCATTAAATGGGAAATGTATGTTAAAGATCCACTTGGAATACTGCTCACGGATGGGAGTAGTGCCAGAAAGTTTGCGTGCAAACGGCTCTGAAACTTGGCTGTCAGGCTGCTCGCGGCGCGCGTGCCCGCCACGTCCTACGCACCGTGTGCCGTCTCTAGCTGTTGCTTGCCGGCGAGCCTCCGCGCCAGAGCCCGTACCCGGCGATTTGCACCGCCCGCGCTAGGAGAGCGAGCTGCAGGAGACATGAGAGAAGAAGAGGGCGTGCGTTGGGAGAAAAGGACCGGAGCACCCATCCGCCCAGTGCTCGGCTCCCAGGGCCTCTCCACCGCAGGCCGGAGTTGCGAAGTTATCGGATAGGAATACCCTTGCTACCAGAAAGTGCCATTTTACCCTCAACAATTTAATTACAGCTTGTTCTCAACCCATTAAATTTTGGTTCTGGCCCATAGCTCAAGTTCCTCTTGGTAGGTTCCTCATATTTCTTAACCATCCGATTGAGCCAAATAGATGGCTTTCATTATTTTCGAAAGCGCTGTAAAATTTCTCAATAAATAAACTAACAAAGTTGTGACAAATATAAAAAAATTCTCCATACCACACATAGTCCTGTTGCATGGCATGCATTTGATATATACTCACCTACTCCCTCCGTTCCAAATTATAAATGGCTTTGATTTTTTAATTCATCCAGTCTTGATACACAACAAAATGAATGTACCAAAAAGTGACTTATAGTTTGAGGAGGTAATTCCTTGCATTATTGAAACATTATCCATTCCCTCTTTAAGTTTTCCCCATAGTACCATATTGTATGGAGCTATCCTTATTGACTATATATAGTATCACCTTGATGTAACAATCTTGAAATCAATAGAACTTCCCTTTTAAAAAAAATATATTATATTTTTTATTTAGGAAGTGACAAGGGAGTCTGCTACCCATCTTTTTCATTTAAAACGGAAAAAAGTACACATTACAAAGGCCCAAGGCCCTAAATAAAAATAAAAACATAAAGAAACATTAGAATCTATCTAGCCAATTAACTAAAAGAGTTTTTGCAACTCCCTAATGAGAATTGGAGCATTTTCCTCCTTAAGAGTGGCCTTCTAGTTCATTAAAGAGAGG